ACGCCCGTGTTTGACCAGCTCGCGACGCTCGTGCTCGCGAATGGCACCAACGGCACTAACGGCTGCTACTAAGCAGCGCGATCTCTTGTGTGTAGCGTACAACGTGATTGCTTAAACATACGTGTTGTGTTTCATTCTTGTTGGGCTTCATTCATGTTTACTTGCGCCTAATATACTTATATAACCTAGCATTCGAATGTCCAAGTCAGCATGCGACCATCGACGAGTGAGCGTGGAAGACGCCAACAATGCACTTGACGCTGGATACGAAAATCGTGTCGATCTATGGACAAGAGATGAGAAAGCTCTACCTTTGTGCACTTGAACTTCCTACCGAATCACAGTTGGTATTTGGATAAAGACAGAACTCGCCACGCGCATGCGTCAGGGCAACCCCGCGACGCGTGTGCATCTCGATCGACAAGGTCGGATCGTCGGATCCGCGGCTTCAGATACCGCGGCCGCCTACAAGCACCCGTGTGCCGTTTGACAAAGGTATTTGGATGAATTCGCAAATCCATCGACCCGAAGGAACCGAGAGTCCTACCTGCTACGGACTCTACCAGTTGGAAACCAGATTGGAATCGTATTGCACCGAGACAACTTTTCAAAGAACTTCTGGAGAGAGGTGTAGCTCTGGGTGGGGTGAGGTCGTGGCCAGCTATGTATAGTATCGAGACCTATTTCATGTACTGCAGTCAGCACCACGCTACATTATCAGATTGCACGGACGTCGTGCGGAACGTCCAGCGTGTGTCACGCAAGGTCCCATGTGCAAGTTTCTGATCCGACTCTGGATGGTCCTGTTACTTTATCCCGAACGTCTGTGCGAGAGCCAAACCCCCATCATCGGCCCACTAGTCTTGGCCTGGCGTGACCGTCTTTGTTTGCTCCGAGAGGTTGTTGACGCTCGTCCAAACCAAGGTGCACATGCATAGCTGACATTACCCTTGACGGCGACCACAATTTCTCAGGCCCTAGAGTTGGACATCAGCACAGATGGTGTGCGTCGTTGGAACGACCTCCTTTTAGTGGCCTTTCTACGTGGCACGACCCGGCACCGCTGTTGCATTTCC